CTGTACATGCGCGCCCGCACGTGGTATTTTGTGGAAAAGCCACACTCAAGGGGCCAAAGAGCCGCATGTGGCTCATAAGCCGCAGTTTGCCGACCACTGGACTAGGCAATGAACTTGGCTGTCTTTGGCATCTCCAACCTAATGTGGCCACAAAAGAACTCCCTATTCTACCCCTAAAACATCCCTTTTCCCAATAAGCAACGCCGTTCCTCTCGCTCAAACCCCATCTAGGAATCAGCTTTGATTCCTTGTTTCCCACACCCAGCACACTCTTCCTATCTTTTGCTGAGTCCATTGTTTCTGTCTTCAAACTGTGTCCTGTATCCACCTGTCTATACTCTGATCTAAGCCACCGTAATTGTTCATACAGATAACCCCAATCACTTCCCTGAGTCCCCTCCTGCCACCCCTACCCCTGCACTGTATCCTCCTTCTGCAACAGCCAGATGAGCTTTTACAAGCAAATAAGAACTTGTCTATTCCCTACTCCAAACTGCCCCATGACTTCAGTCTCACTCAGATTGAAATCCAAACTCTCACCTTTGTCTTCGCCCTCTGTTGACTACATCCCCATCACCCTCCCTCTCACTCAATAAACTGTGACCTTCTTCATGTGCTCAATCATATCAAGCTTGATTCAACCTCAAGGCCTTTGCACAGCCTGTTTCTACTATTTCTTTTCCTCGAATGTGTGAATGGCTAGCCCCTTTTCACCCACAGGTGTCAGTTCAAATGATATCTCCTTTGAGCAGCCTCCCTGGCAACTCTAAATTAGCGCCCAGTAGCTCTGCATCACTTATCTGTTTACATACTTGTTTCTCCCAACTGAAATGTAAGATTCATGAGGACAGGAATCTACCTTGGTCAACACATGCCTAGAACAGCTTGACACAGCACAGGCCCTCAGTAATTATTTGTTGAATGGATGAGCAAGCAAATGAATGACTTTATGCCACACTGGTAGGTAAGTAAGAGTTCTGTTTTCCTCATATCAAAGTGAGGAAACAAAGACACAGAGAGTGTGGAGATGGCTTCTAAGATGGCCACAATGATCCCATTTCCTCCACTCATGCCCTTGTGTGATCTCCTCCCCTTGAGTTTGGGCTGGACCTGGCAGTGGCTTCTAACCAACAAGGTAGGGAAAGGTGATGCAATGTCCCTTCTGAGATTGAATTACAAAAAGCTGTGACTTCTGTCTTGATGAACTCCGTTGCCTTCTCAGCTTGCTCAAGTTGGTAAAGCAAGCAACATGTTGGGAAGGTTCACATGGCAACGAACTGAGGGCAGCCTTGGCCAACAGCCAGCAAGGAACTGAGGCCCTCAGTCCAATAATCCACAATGAATTAAATCCTGCCAGCAGTCACACAGGGAGTTTTCAAAGAGCTTCTTCTCCAGTCAAATCACAATGACCTTCTTCATGTGCTCAATCATATCAAGTTTGATTCAACCTCAGGGCCTTTGCACAGCCTGTTTCTACTATTTCTTTTCACCACATGTGTAAATGGCTAGCCACAGCTCAACAGATACCCTCTATTATAGCTGAGACACCCTGTTGTAGAGGACCCAGCTAAGCTGTGCCCAGAGCCCTGGTCCCCACAGAAACTGTCAGATCATAAATGTGTATTCTTTCAAACCACTAACTTAGGGACATTTAATACACCGCAATAGTAACTAATACATAGAGATCAAATGACTTGCCTATGGTCACATAGACACTAAAGAACTGAATCAGGTCTTGAACCCAGGTCTCTCTGTCTCCAAAATCATTCCCTTAACCACTTACCTGACCTGCCTTTCATAATAACAGAACATATCAAAAGCTTGATTCAGGTTTAAAAGTTTGTCTATGGATCCTTGTGTTTCAACATGGCATCTGTATGCCTATGTGTCTGTCTCTTTCTAAGTCTGCAGCTCTGATTGGGTGTGCCCAACTGTGTCTCTCTCCACGCACATAACTATGTCTGGCTGTGAATCTGACTTGTGGCTGAGCCCTGACCTTGTCTGTCCCTTTGTTACTGCTCTAGCTATGCCTGTGCTCTATGTATTTCTGTCTGTCTTCTGAGTCTATTTCTCTATTATCTTGCTTGCATTGACAGCTGTGATCTCTGTATGTGTGCCCATCTGTCTGTTGCCCTGTCTGGAACTGTTTATAGCCGCATCCTTGTGTTATCTCTCTGCATCTATCACCTGTGTGGGTGAGGACTGCTCCTTGTGTGTGTTGCCCCTCTGAGCTTGTGGGTTTGTGTCCATGACTGTGGCCTGCCTGAATGCCTTGGTATCTTTGTGTTTGTCTAAAGTCTGTGACTGTTCTGGTCTGTTTGTCTGCGTCAGTCACTTCTGGCTGCATGTGTGTTATCTGTCAAGTGTTTGTGCCTGTGTTCTGACCACAGTTGGTTGTCTGATTCCGGGGTGTCCTGTGTCCATTCTGTGGCCCAGCTCCCTCTGGTGGTCCGACAAGGAATAGCTGGTGCAGATGGACCAAAGGAAAGAAGAGTTGAGGGAAGAGGAAGTACTTTAGGCAAACTGAATCATGGGCTGCACAGAGAGGGGAAGGATTGGGTATGATAGCAGGGACCACAGGTGGCCTGGCCTGGCCTGGCCTGGCAGGATGGGACTGGGGTCTGGCCTCTGAGCCACCCATTGCCCATCCATCACGAGGAAGGGCTAGGAGACAGGATGCCTG